TGAAATGTTTGCACACAACATTATTAATTTATACATTTTTTTAATTATGAATCAATTTATTTTATTGTATTTCCTTGAGGCTGGGGAATATATCCAGCATGTGGTTCAACATGTAATACAAGTAAGTATATGTACAACATGGTAAAGTAAATAAAATAAGTTTCATAGGAGGATGTGGATTTATTTTCTCTCACCTTGTAATTACACAATCAAACAATCTATAATTTTGCTCTGACCTTCACAAAAACATTGGTGTTGAATTGGACACATTTTTCGAAGCTCTATTGACTGACATGTAATGACTGGGACTGATGGAAGAATCTGAGAGGAATGAACTGGAGCAGAGAAATAATCATATTTTAAAAGACAGCAGCCCCATAAGAAGCCAACAAGAGTCACAAGGGTGTGTCACTTTGCTGAAGGATAGACCAGCTATCCAGGCCAGACTCTAAAGACTTTCCAAGGGGTAAAAATGCTGCTGCCGGAGTACTGACTGGAAGTATTGCTGATATCAAGTCTACCATCCTCTTAAAATACTCTGTCCAACAATATCAGTCTCATGAAGAAAGGTTTTTAACGCTGATTCAAAATAGCAGAGAAACATGCATTCTTGTTCTCAGGAGGGGACATTGACAGAGGAATACTGGAAAAGTACACAGTAAGTACTTCATAGTACTTGTGGGGGTAGTTTCACTAGTAATGAGTCCAACAGTGTCAGTTTTATTAAGAACTTGTGGTAACAAATATTTGCATCACTCATTGAATATAGCAGGAAAGAAAATGAAGAGCAGCTGATTGACCGAGTGCAGAATCGCTGTATGGTTTAAATCTCCTAACAATGTTGTCCATTTTAGACAAAGGCTTATTATATTTGCAGCCCTAATAACATTCATTTTCTGGGCTCAATATGTGTCTTGGCTGTTTTCGTTGTGATCGCTAAATGCACCTTGTTTATAATATTATCTCTATAACACTGACCCAGATCGCTGGATCGCTAGAAACACCTGCCATCAGACTGCAAGGGCTGTTCCATGCTCTGCTCCAATTTCCATGTAAAAAAAGTCAGTTTGTTGTAAAACTGTTGAAATATAAGACTATGAAAAATACGCAACTAGAAAGACTACAAATCCCAGAATCCCGGTCCCGCATGCTGGCTCTTACGAACCGACTAACTCCCCTTTTGTGTATGTACAGCTCTCAACGTGCCCAGACTTGTAGTGATTTTCACCTCTTTTAATACTTTGCCTCATTCTGAAAGAAAGAAGTGAAATGTGCCAACATGACGGCCGTCTTGGTGTGTGGTGCGAGACAGGAGATGTAGTTCATTGAGCGGTTCACACAAAAAAATGTGTTACTTCACAGTTTTACGACACATTTTTATTTTTTTGACTTGTAAAATTATCTTTTAAATTGACAAACATCATATGTGTAATTCGTGGCACAATTCAAACGGGATCGAAAGATAATCTTTCTCTCTCCATTGACTTCAATACATAACTTTTCAGAAATAAGGTCCCATGGAGGTCCCCCGGAAAGGGAGGGACTTCGCCTCTCTATTACTGCCAAAAGTCACGTGACTTTTGGCAGTAATATTCCACCGTGAGAAGAAAAAGTTTTGTACTCGTAAAAAAAAAGTTGTGTACTTGTAAAACCTATGCTGAATTTGTCTCTGAAACATGATTTATTAGAAAAATGTTATGTGTTTGTTTGATAGATATGTTTTTTCTTTGCAAAACTAAATGCATTAGTTTGTAGATGGTGTTTTGTATTTGAAAACCACATTGTGTTTGTTAGTGAATCATAAGGCATTTGTAAAACCTGTTTAGTTTGTTTGTGGAGTTATGGCAGGAAATTAGCTTGTTGGAGCTCCAATAGCTCCAGCCCCCACCCTCCCTGTGAGCCCAGTGTGCTCTGATTGGTCGGGACGTTGTGAATCGCGCTGAGCTCCTTGTTTAGCGATACACAGCCAAACTCATCCTGAGCACACACAAACTCACAGCCGAAGTAATTAAGTGTGGCTTGATATTGAGTAAGAAAAAGGTTGATAAACGCTGTGAGAATGGGTCTGCAGAGAGAATTTCGCCGCGATCCCAACTGTCTGTTATCAGCCTGCAGCCAGGGAGGAGAAATCAGCAGAGCTGCCTGCATTGAGTGTGTGTGTGTGTGAGGAAGTGGATTGGTCAATTTGGACCAATCAGCGGGGGCTTAACGTAACGGCTCTGCGGACGTAACATAACGGCTCCACGGATTGGTCCATTTGGTTCCGGGTACCGCATGACGTTAAGCCGTACCAGGAAGAAACATTGGACAATGACGTATCAGTGACGTATCTCCAACGAGGCGTTTTGGGGAGGTATTTTCTGTGTTAGAGTTTTACTCGCTACAGGGTGTACTTTGAGGGTTTTTGACTCTGCAGACCGTTTACACAGGGCTGCCAACACTCACGCATTGAGCGTGAGAGTCACGCAATTAACCCATATCTCACGCACTCACGCCTGCCTTTCCTCACGCTAAGTTTTCGTCCAAAATAAATGTATATAAATATACAAATAAAGTGAAGGAACAGCAAACCGAGCGGTCTACGAAATGAGACGGTCTTCTGGCTTAGTTCAGTAAAGTTGGAACGATATCGGGAGATTCTGATTTCACGGATCAATAACTCATGAACAAAACGTTATTCAGACACAAATGACGCCTCTTAAGTACCGTGGTAAGGTTGACAACGAACTACAGTCACATTTTGATCAACAAAAAGCCAATATGCGCCGTCCTCCGAGCTGGACACATTACATTGGTCTCTATCCGCAGCCGGAGAAGAAATGAGTGCTCAGGGACCGTCTGCAAAGTGCAACTCCGAAAAAAGAGAATACAATAATATTCAATCACTATTATACAGCTTATTACTACCAAACTCACTACACACTTCAATAGTCTCCTGGTGGTCATACTACAGCAAGGAGTTTGGAAGAATATGCTTTTGAATAATTGTGGGGAATATTTATAAATCTTCAATAACTATGGCATCATCTTAAATAACTTTACTATTATACAGTATATGTCTACCAAACTCACTATTTGCATTGTTGTTGTTAGCATCTGGTTAGCTTAACGGATATTAGAAGCTGTTTCTAAAACAAGGAGAGGGAGAGGATATATAGGATATATATATATATATATATATATATCCTATATATATGCTAAGGTCCCGCTACTGAAATGATAGCAGTCATTTAGTGCGCATATGTGTAATTAAACCCATGATATCAAAATCTCACTCCAGCCAAAGTTGGCAACCCTGCCACATGAAGTTAGAGCTAGCAAGCGATTAGCTTAGCATACAGACAGGAAGGGGGTTTTGCTTATTATGTAACAAACTATAAATACTAAATAAAGCTATGCGCTTGAATGATTTCTTGACTAACATAAAATCTATTTCCCCAGTATTTCTGTAGGGTGACAGTTTGTTTGGTTTTAGACTTGTATTCAACCTAGTAAAGTTCCTGCACAAATTCCTCATGAAGCCACAAACTTACATTTCTGTTTGAGTAAGGATAAAGGAAACAAGATGCCACATGTAATGAACCAGTAAGTTGAAAGGTGTTGTTACAAACAACGTTAGGGGTTAAATTAAGTCTTCAACACAGTGAATCACTGTTTGGAGTTTCTGTTTTTTTCCATATAGGAACAAAACCCAATTTTTTCCATGCGATATGAAGTATGTAAAAACTTAACTCATGGGTTCAGGTTATTTATGGGACCAATTATCTTAGCATGTTAACAATTATGTTCTACTTTTCTAAAAGGCAAGAAGATGCTTAAAAGGGAGTACATTTGAGAATAAATGTTTATACAGTCACTAATGGTCGCATCTCCACTGCAGCGCGTAGCACAGTTTAAGTGCCAAGCCCGGCCCGTTTTTTGTTGCGTTTCCACTAGGGGTAGTTCCGGCTAACGGGTACTGTTTCACAGTTTTCTGGCTCTCCAAAATCCAGTTTCTTTCCGGGCCAACAACCGGGCTGAATATGCTAAACTAGTGAGAGAATCGCTGGCAAGGGAGCTACAACTACAACAAAATGAACATATTTTACCGTGATTTAATTGTAATACACGTTTCTAAATGATGCCGAAGTAACAACATACTGATATCGGTTAGTAAATACCATGAATTAATGCTTTGACAAGTCTGCAGACAGACGGCAGGCGAAAAACCTTTTAAAATGCGTGTTTTCTGAATGGAGATCTGCTAAGCTAACGCAGTATATGCTCCGACCGTCCACACTCACAACAACGGCCTATACAGACATAAATAAACCAGCAATTGTATTCTCCATGACACAGACAGTCTGTGGTTTGTACTTGTTTAACTTTTGTCTAGTTTCTGAACAGATATGAGGAGCTATGATCTCTGTGTGCTAACAGCTAACGGTTGATGTTGGTTTTGTGTTTCGCATTGAAGATGACGTCACGGCTCTGCCTACACTGCGTTACTATAGTTACTACCCCAGTTCCTAAACTGCAATGGAAACGCAGCATAAAGTGAGCCTGGCCTACCAAGGCCTAACTATACCGTACTAAGCCGTGCGAGGCCCTGCAGTGGAAATGCGCCATAAGATGCCAAATGGCTTGACAGATATTAGTAAATGCAGTGATTTATTGTGAGGATCTTCCTCATCCTTTCATTCATCTCCTGACTGAACGCAAGCTAAAGCACTTACTGTAATGCATTTTTATTTTTGCTTTGAGAGGCAAATGTATCATTCCAAATTAGTGAATTAGCTGTTCAAATGTTCCTTATTCTTTCCATTTAGGAACAAAATCCTTTTCTTCCATGCGATATGAAGGATGTGAACACATTCCTGGCAGGAAAAGGGTATTCTCTCAGCATGTAAGGGTTTTTTTTAAATGATGTTTCTGCTCTATATAAATGGCAAAAAGCTGCTTAAAGGGAGTGAATTTGAGAAAAATTGCTTATATTTACAAAGATGCAAAATGACTCGACAGATATTAGTAAATGCAGTGATTTATTGACTCATGGAGAATTTTTGTCATCCTTTCATTCGCCTTCTGACTAGACGCAAGCTTTCAAAGTTAATGCATTGATTTTTTTACTTTGTAAGGCAGATTTAACGTACCAGCACTGTTAGTGGGTTAGTCAACGGAGGAGTCTTTGATCTTTAAAGTGGACCCCCTCCTCTCACAGCTCTCCGTTAGCGCAGGCCTGCATGGACACCATCCTGGTGGGCCTGAAGCCACTGTACTTCCCGTCTGGACTCGGGTACTCTCCCCGGACTCTCCCTATGCAGCAGCTGGGGATGGCAGGGTGGCTGTTGCTGGGTGGGACCCCAAACCTCCAGCTGATGTACTGACTATAGGCGCAGTGACGCAGGGCGGTGTGGCCTGGACCAGCGGGGGCAGACAGAGGGTCCCGGTACAGGAGGACGGCCTCCAGCAGGGAGCGACGCAGCACCAACTGCTGGAACAGAGGAGACGAGGCGATGCAGGCGCCCTCGCTCCGTCTGCAGCACAGCTCCTCCTGGGGGAGGGAGGAGGGGGTGCAGCGGGCACACTTACACCAGGCGGGGGGGCTGGATTTTGGGGCCGGGTCAGATTTATGGTCAAGGGGAGGCTGATGGTCCTGATCCATGCTGACGCCCGGCAGAAGCACACAGGCTCCGAGGTGTCTTGTGTCCTCCTGTCAGGAGAAGCATACATCACTGTATCAAATGGAGAGAGTATTTTGGGGGGAGATAAAACAAATACAGGTGCGATGCTGTAAAAAATAAATGTTTAGTTTTGATGATTTTTGAGTTATTGACTAGAAGACTGAAACAAATTGTTAACGATAAGCACGATAAAACAATACAATGCGTAATCTAACTTGATAAGAAGCTCTATAAACGTGATTTTCCACCGTGGGCAATGGAGCGGGAAGCAATGAGCTTCTTTTGTAATTCTAACCTGATTATGTTTCAACCCTAAAAGTTACAAAAAAAATGTAACTTTAGCTTGGAGCTAAATATTTATTTTAGGTTTGAATGTCATTATTAGGATAGAACCACTACTATGTATTATTATTCAGACGTCTGCAGCAGGCTCACCTTGTGTGACTGGACAGATATCGGTGTGATGTCTTGTAAACTATTCTTCTGTGATATCTTCACCAGTCGGATATTGTTTTCATCGACGTAAGACACGCAGAGAACGCACTGCAACACACATTATGAAAACACTTTAACAATGGGTTTACAGAAACATTATATGATACCACATCATCTGCTGTATTAAACCATTCATCACCTTCTGTTTGTCCTGGACTGACTCCACTTTCTTCTCTGAGAAGTTTTGTGCGACATCTGCAGAGTAACATCTGGTTCCAATCAGCCAGTCGATAATCAAAGTCGTCTTGAGAATAAGACAGAGTTTTACACTTCATGTACAACACACTCATTCTGCTTCAAATTTGCTTTCCAATCCTCCAGCTGCCTCTGATTTGAGTTTAAAACAAATATGCCTGTATCAATGTAAGAGGATGAGAAAACCCTTTCTCTGTTAAGTGCCTCCATAACCTAAAGCATTCATTTGTTTTCATCTTACAATTTATAAATTCAAATAGTTATCACTACAATTTCATTTTATTTCACTGTACAATATTTAAATTTGACATTCTGTTCTTGTATATATTATTCTATGTACATGTAAATAGACTCCTGCATTGACTTGATCACTTACACAATTCTCTGGGAACTTTGGGATTTTGGCCTTTAAAGACCATTTACATGCATTTACACCAGTAATATAATAAACAATATTCTGAAATAGCCCATTCTGCATAAGGTGCACTTTTTCTATACTTTCGATACTTATGGTGTTTATTGATCCTAATATTGCTTTATAAAAAGGGGTTTAAAGACAGTAGAGAGAGATAAAGTCAAACTCCAGACTGGGAAACATCCGCCTCAGTTTCATCACAGACACCTCCTCCATGATTTCCTAACGTGGTTTCACTCTGACTGAACGAGTCATCTCTGAACGGAGACCATCATGCACCAAAGTCCACAGTGGAATCTGTTTTGTTGCATACAAATGTATTCTAAATAAGACTTTGTTTCTGCTGCAGCCACAGCTCTTACTCTCAACATTCCCACCAATTGCGTTCTTCTCACATACTGAGCTTATTTAGGTCTTTTCTGTAGTGAAATTCATTCGGTTAGTCCAGATGCATCCACCATTTAAAGTCTCACTTTTGTATACTCCAACACTGACGGCCATTGTGTAGAAATGCATGAATGGACACTATTGTGGTCTCTCACCATAGCGTAGTACGACAGCGTTGATCCGATGTAGATGATGAGCACGATGAAGCTGAACTTTCCCGCCTGGAAAACACATCAACGGTCACTTTGATTTTTACACATTCTCGTCAAGGGTCTTAGACAAACTGAAGTCAGGAGCTCCTGTGTGCTGTGTGTCCTGTGTGATAGGATTTTGTATTGATCAGATATGGCATTGTGATCAATTTCCTCTCCACAAAGCAAATATTTTATTCCCTCGATTCTTTGGGTCCAGGTAAATTTTTCCGTTTAATCAGAGCCAATTTGTTTCTACATTTGCCGCCATATTGGAAAATATTATTTAAATAATAGAAAAATATCTTTTCAACAATTACTCCTAAACATTTTGAGCAATCATCACTTCTAAAGAAAATCACTTCTATATCACAGATGAATCTTATGTTTGATACAGTGTTGCCTTAGCTGGTGTGGGACCCTAAGTAATATTAGGCTTGGTAATGGACATGAAACTGTCTAACATTGCAAAAGCACTCTTAATGTATTTTTTGTTTTTATTAACCTATAATTTTCTGATATGTTCATGTGCAATGCATTATTTGGTAGGTAAAGTAAATTGTATTTTGTCGTAGTTTTACCAGTTAAAGGTTGCGATATGTGATACAATGCGTCACCTGCTAGCTTAATTGGACTAATGCCTGTATTGTAACTAAATAGCAAGTGCTGAAAGCGATAGTTAATGTGTTAGCGGGTTAATTGTAAGCAGGCTTTTGGTATTTTATGTCTGATGTAAGTTGGAGAATGTAAATTAATGTTAATGTGAAGACATCACCTATTAGACCGGGCCCTGTGAATGCGTGCTTGTCTATTTCAGAATGGAATAACGAAGTCAAAGGATTTTATATGTCCAAGTGTGCAACACTGGCTCTAATGGCGCGTTTCCACTGCAGGCCTCGCTCGGCCTCGCTCGGTTTGGTTAGGCCTTATTATGGCGTGTTTCCACTGCAGGCCTCGCTCGGCCTCGCTCGGTTTGGTTAGGCCTTATTAGGCCCGGCTCACTTTAATGCTGCGCTTCCATTACAGTTTAGGAACTGGGGTAGTTACTATAGTAACGCAGTGTAGGCGGAGCCGTGACGTCATCTTCAATGAGCGCCCCAAAAAAACAACACAGCCGTTAGCTCTTAGCACTCAGAGCTCACAGCTCCTCATATCTGTTCAGAAACTTGACAAAAGTTAAACAAGTACAAACCACAGACTGCCTGTGTCATGGCGAATACAGTCCGCTGGTTTATTTATGTCTGTATAGGCCGTTGTTGTGAGTGTGGACGGTCGGAGCATATATAACGTTAGCTTAGCCAAGCTACATTTAGAAAACATGCATTTTAAAAAGGGTTTTTCGCCTGCCGTCTGTCTGCAGACTTGTCAAAGCATTAATTCATGGTTTTACTAACCGGTATCAGTATGTTGTTACTTCGGCATCATTTTGAAACGTGTATTACAATTAAATCACGGTCAAATATGTTCATCTTGTTGTAGTTGTAGCCCCCTTGCCAGCGATTCTCTCTCTAGTTTAGCATACTCAGCCCGACTCAGCCTGGTTGTTCCTGGCCCATGAACCACGATTTAGTCGGGCCAGAAAAAAGGTGAAAAAGTAGCCCCGGGCCAAAACTAGGCCAAGTGGAAACGCAACCAAAAACGGGCACAGCATGGCTCGGCACGCTTAAAGCGAGCTACCCGCTGCAGTGGAAACGCGCCATAAAAGTGTGTGAAAATGCCTTCATTCCAAAAATGTGCTGCTCATGTGTAGATATTATTTCAGGGTGACCATAACACATTTGGTGCCGTTTGGTTAATAGGTAGGGCTGTGGCAGTACAAATCTAACTTTAAAAAAGGAAGAAATATTTGTCTGCATGCCTGTAATTTGTATATCTCAAAATCCTCTTCACAGATGGCTGTTGTATTGCTTAGGAGCCAAAGTGGTGAGTGTGAAGTAAATCTGATGAGCAGTCCTCAAGCAAGCAGCATTTCCGGGTAATCAGCCTGTTCTGAACGGCCACTATACTCGTTAAGTCTAAGTCTAAATTGATTTGAACAAATAGAGAACTTAAAATAAATAAATATATGAAATCCCAAAAAGTAAAGAAAAAAATAAATGGGGGAAAACCAACCCACCTGTCCAAACACCATGACGTCAAACCTGATCCCGAAAGCTTTGTATAGCGTCCGCTCCTCCACTCCATTCACTGTGTTGTACTTTGCATATCTGATCAGAAGACAGCTGATATGATGGATCACAAAAACATTGCAGCACACAGCTTAACCTGACAGAAGAGCCTCGGAAACTGAGCGGTTTATTTTTACGTGAAATCTGACATTAAATTGTGCCTGTTTTTTACTGGTCTCACTTATCCATTCTGTTCCATATAAACGTTTCATTAGCAGAGGTTGTTCACACTGATAGCTTGAGCCACACTGATGTATTGGCCTTTTAGTCAATAAAATCATCAGCCAGTACAGAACACTAAGACTACTTTATTTTGTATTCCATTGGCCTAAATGTTTTTCATCCCACAGGAAAACATATGGGGAACCACTGAAGCTATGATTGTTTTCATATATAGTCCTGGCCTTGTCTTATCAGCACAAACCTTTGGCTTTTGGAGGACTTAAATAAACAAAGCTCCTACATTTCTGACTGTGAGGTTGACCTTTGACCCCGGCTCACCTGAAGTTGAGGCCGGGGTACAGGGTCCTGTTGCTCTCCTTCTCGTCCAGCCGTCTGAAGGAGTATCTGGGCAGGCAGCGCTGCATCAGCCGGTCCAGGTTGCAGTCCCATTTGATCAGGATGCCGATAACGCCACCCTGTGGTCAAACAGAGGGAGTGTGGGTTAAATGATTAAACTCAAAACTGATCATAGGAAGAAAACACAGAAAAGGACCTTTTATATTACTCCCTATTGTAAAGGCAATGTTAAATATCACATTCCGAAAAGCTAATTGAACATGTTGGGGTAGTTGGTGGAGGTTGTTTTTTCTCCTGGAGGTGAGGAACTAAGTGCATTAGTACTGTACTTGATGAAAAATAATTCTAACTATTTTGGAGCTACAGAATAATTGAATGCATCCTCAATTTAATCTCATCAAGCAAAAATATAAAATTGCTTGTTTTCATGATGAAGTCACGGCATTATTTATTTCTATGACTGAGTCCTTCAAGTCATAGTTTATACATTGCCAATGGAGTTTCCAATTAAAATTATAGTATTTTTTGATTTTTCTAAACATTTAAAATGTGTGTCTTAAAATTTGAAAGAATCATGGCTGTAGGTGCAGTACAATCTTTTTTGAAAGTCCATTTGGAAGGAGGATATTTTTTCTTTTTCACAGGTTATGCTAGGGGTTTTTCTCTCTGTAGTGTTTTCTATAGGTTTTAGTGCATGTAAATGGTCTGCAAAGGCTAAAATCCCTGTGTTCCCTCCAGAGGGAGTTTCTCTTCCACACACTGCCTCCTGCCTGAAACGCCTTCATTGGACTCCTTTGTTTACTTCAGTAACATAATAACATCATTATGTAACACGTGCACTTCCATTAGCTAGCGCTCCAACACATTGTAGGTGATCGGCTAAGGGGCCAGTCACCTACAATATATACTCTAATATACTTTACTGTGACATGTTTGTATCTACCGAGTAGAGGCACTAAATACAAATATGAAGCTGAAAAAGAGCATAATGTTCTAGAGCAGGGGTGGGGAACCTCCGGCCCCCGGGCCGTATACGGCCCGCGAGACCATTTGGTGTGGCCCTCGAGGTAATTTATAAACACACACAAAAAATAAAAAAATTAATGAAATCTAGACCGCAAAATAATTAAACAAGTGAGTGCCTGTTTTTCCTGGCCAAGGTCAGGGTCCTTGAACACAACACAAGCCTAACATGTCATCACGTGGTATCTCTGACAGGGGTGTAGTTCTGACAGGGAGCACCAGAATCGCATCCGTCATATCCGTCTACTCACCTCCCTCTGCTCCCAGCGCTCTGCTGCCACACACCGGCCGTCTGCGGAACTGCAGCCGGAGGAACTCTGTACAGCTTGTTATGTGTGAACAATCTAGATCCCTCCGCTTCCCCATAATGACCGCGAAATGTTCGTGTTATAATATTACTGCAATAATATTCCAGTGGTGGCTGCTTAAGGTTGTTTCTGGCTCGTTTGATCCAAACATTGTCCAAAGCTCAAAATGTATTGTAATAGATGTAAGAATTCTCAAAATGTACAATATGTTTTGATCCAACAGAATATTCTGATTCAATCCATATATGTTAGGGTTTTTTTTAAACAACATTTTCACCACAATAAATAGACTGCCTTCTCTCCAGCTCACCGCACACAAAGGGGGGGGGGGGGGGGGGGGGGCATCTGTATTAACGGGTCAGTCTATAAGCACTCTAACAGCACCATAAAACAACATTTAAACAACCACAAAAAAACAATTATTGTTTCCGATATTGATTTAACGAGATGCTGTTATAACATGGTAACGGCTTAATTTAAAAAAATAAGCTTCAAAAATGTTTTATGAAGCACACTGGGTACAGCCCTGTAATACATGTGTTCCGTGTGTGTATATAGTCTTACGCAAAAAACACATAGCATGAACAGACTGCAACAAAACCAGTCTTACAAAACAGACTTCTGCTAAACTGGTGCAGAAGCAAAGCATCTGCCTTAGATGAAGTTCACACAGAACTGTGGAAAAGGGAGAACATCTGTACTTGCTTTCAACGACATGATCCGGCTTATATATTATAAAAGTGTTGGCTAAAGTAATGCAGAATATATTTTTTTTTTTAATTGTAAATAATTAGAAACATTATTTATGTGCACAAGTACACACACATAACAAGCTGTACCGAGTTCCTCCGGCTGCAGTTCCGCAGACGGCCGGTGTGTGGCAGCAGAGCGCTGGGAGCAGAGGGAGGTGAGTAGACGGATATGACGGATGACGGATGCGACGGAAATACACCCGAACATATCTGGTAGCCCGAACATATCTGGTACTGACACCGGCACTTCCAAAAATTGCAGTACCCATAAGGAGCGGTACAGTACACATGCTGCAGGTTTTGCGTGGCTGTGTCTTTAGTTGAAAGCCCAGTGGCGATCTGCTCATCTGTCATACTGATCATACAGTCAATAACGTTGTTGTTATTAGCATCTGGTTAGCTAGCTATGCTAACGAATATAAGAAGCTTTTTCTACAACCAGTGAGGTAAAGGCACATCTTTATATGATCATTATAGTTATAAAAAAATAAGAGAATAAAGTAAACAGGTATAAAATACTATATGACAGTAAAAAAAAGAATACAGTTTGAAAGGAGAGTGATTTGTAAAATATCCATAAAGAAAAATAAAATCTGCTTACAGTTCTGTTTCATCTGGGTGTTGAGAGATGTATCCATAGATCTCCTAATGTTGCTCTCAAAGTGCACCAGATTGATGCTTTTAACTTCAATATTTAAAAAATAAATCTTCCCGGGGGAGCATCCCCCCCTGGACCCCCCTAGAGGAGGTTAGGTCTCCCCCCACTTAAATCATGTTCCCATGGATAGGAGTCTAAATACATTTGCACACATCTTGTGTCCATATCTTTCTGTTTTGGTGGTCATGCCACACCGTGCACGTGCATGCGTGAGTCATGGCAAGATATCTGGATTAAGAGGTTGCTTTTTCTTTGCACAGCATGAAAGAAAGGCCTAATGAATGGGCTGTGATTTTAGTTTTTTTAAGCAGAGGTCAATCATTTGTACGGCCCTCGGAGGATGTTGAAAACATTGAAATGGCTCTTGAGAGGAAAAAGGTTCCCCACCCCTGGTTTAGAGTGAAGAAACATCAGATAATTATGATAACAAATAAGAGCAGAAAACTAAAGTGATTTCTTAAGTACAAAAGTTGTTTGGTATTTATAGTGTCATAGCTAACTTCCCACTTGCATCCAGACAATTTGAAGAAAGTTTGCAGAAGCTAGACTTCCTTTTTTTGCTTGTTTCATTTCAACAGTATTTGATCCCTAACTAAGCACAACAGAGTGAAACCCAAAGGGTGAAAGTGAATTAGAGAAAAGCAGATCTGCTCACTGTGGTGTCAGTGAACTGTGGCTAAAAACCAAACCGTTGTTGGAAAAAATGATGTACAGAAAAATGTTTTAAAACATGTGCCCTAACCTCTACGGCCATCTCAGAGAACTTCTCCCCGGCCTCTCGAACGACGTCCCCCAGCCTGAAGATGGGACACAGAGGGTCTCCTCCTCTCTGACAGCTTCGCAGGTAGGCGTCGTTCATGTTCGGGAGGATGTTCCTTCTGCAACAAAAGATGGACTTTAAAATTCACAGAAACCAAAAAATATGCAAATGAGACATGAAGAATGGTAAATAAGCCCAGCCAGAGGAGAATAGTACCATTTTTCTTAATAGTTGCACACCGACCATTTTCCCACAAATATCATCTCCTTTACTTCAGAATATATACATTCTTACTTTTTATGACATTCATATTTCTCAAATATACATTAAGGTGCGAGGAACAACATACTTTAAAGCTAATTCAGTGTGTTGAGGTTTTTCTCAATGTTTTTTTAAGATTTAAACTGCGGCACACAAAGCTGCGTAAAGTTAGGAAACTGTTTCAATGTCCATCAACATACAGCTGCCTCACCGGATGTAGTTGAATGCAGGGAACCTGATATTGTTTTTGATGAGGACGGTGAAGTTCTCAGCTGCTGCCAGCAGTGCAGGCCTGCATCAAGGACAATTCTGAACGTTATACAGTGTAGGCAATGCAGTACATTTTCATTGGGAAACACAGATTAAGAAAAATACTCTAAAAAGCCTCTGCAACATCAGCAAACAGCAGAAACGTGTTCGAGACTAGCCGATGTAGATAGTGTAGCATTTAGCAGCTAAAGGAACAGATTTCCCTCGTAAGATGGTGGAGACCAAAAATAGAGCTAAAAGAGAGACACTGCGACTGTAAATGAAAAACAATGTGCAACTTAAATGTTATGATGTCAGTGTTGTCTTCACAACGTGTGTTATATACGTTTTAGGCATGTAAATGGTCTGCAAAGGCTCAAATCCCAAACTTCACGCAAGAGGCCTTTGCCCATCACATCTTGGGAGGGAAATATGTTCCTTTATCTGTTAAATGCTACACTATCTACACCGGCTAGTGTCTAACAATGTCTGCTGTTTGCTGATGTTGCAGAGGCTTTTTAGAGAATGTAACTAAATGATGTGTCTCATATTCTCAATCACAACAGAACAACCAATCGGAGCAGACTGGGCTCTGGTTTCAGGGTGAACTTTGGTGCAGCAGCACAGGCAGTGTGAGAAAAATAAAGACCTTTTTCAAATTTAAAGTATGTAAACATGTCACAGTAGAGTCACAAAATACAAATATGAACCTGTAAATGTGCATCATATGTCCCCTTTAAGTTATATTTTGTTCTATTGGTTCTTCAAAATGATATCAGAGGATCAAGTGAAGTTAAAGAGGACATATCATTCTCATGTTCATATTTGTACTTTGGGTTACAACTAGGACATTTGCATGCTTCAGTGGGTTATTGAAACACCCGTACCCACCCCCTCACTGATACGCTCTATTTTAGCGCATGTCTCTTTAATTTAATTTAATGCCAAGTTTGCTTTGATTGGCTTGCAAAAACATATATTCTGCACATTAACAAGCTGTGGGTGGAGACCCCTCAGATGGGGGGCAATATTTGATGCATTTGATATGGCTTGTTGAATCCCATGTTTTCTGATTGAGGCAGCTCACAAAAAAAGACTTGCCCAAGTCAGTGGGTTGTTGGGCACTTCAGATACATACAGTAAATGTATGTGCAGTTTACCTCGGAGGACTCCTCTTTGTTTCCACTGGACACCAGGCAGAGACCTCGCAGGTTTTCCTCAACACGTCAAACTTCACACATGATCCCGTCTTAATCCCTGTACAGGGAAATACACAGTGTTGTATTTCAACTCAACTGATCTGTCACAACTCAGTTAGAAAAAACGTAGAAGATAAGGTGTTTACAGTTCGACTGTGGCACAAATCTTTAGCAGAGAGCTGAAAGCTACTGCCTGAGGATAACATTGCAACACGTTATTGATAAATTCCTCTTCCTCTTGTGGAAACAGGTGTTAAATGAAACGTACTCGCTTGGGGAAAGAATGTGTTGGCGGATAAGACAGAAGTGAGATATTCCATAAATTATAGTCACACAAAGTTGCCTCTACAAGTCTAAATAACATTTTTGACTTGTATCAACATTATTGTAATAATTACATTTTTCTTCCAACTAAATTAATGGGTAATGCTTCCAAAATGAGGTCTGGACTGGAGGAGTAAACAGATATGTTGCATGCAGCGGTGGAAAGTAACTAAGTACATTTACTTATACACAATTGCTTGTTGAGCATTTTCCGCCACTTTCTTTAACTCTACTACACTTCAGAGGGAAATGCAATGAACAAATAAACTACGCTGTATTATTTTACATTTAAATAAAACTTTATTGATCAAGGGTCAATAAAATAACCTCCATATTTACAAGATGCAACATTGGAGGGATAAACACATTATTGCATCAATAGTTATGATGCAATGATATACTTTCATTTTGAAATTATTTTGAAATTAGTTATTTGACTTTAGTTCTTCAAGTTTACGTTGATGCATATTCTTATATACTTTATGTTTTGTAGGAGTTCTTCGGCACAATGGTGTTAAAACTTCTACTTCAAGAAGGCTAAATCTAAATCTAAATCTAATTTCAGGTCAATACTCCAGAAACCCACATTTCATTTACAATAAAAAAATGCTGCAAGAAGCTCAAAACTGAAACAGGACCACAAAAAAGTGATGCACACAGCTGGGACCATTGGCTTGTTGATGTTCGCGGATTATAAAGTAGGCCAACTGTCACTGTTGGCAGAGTTAGTCTGTTTCATAATTGTGACAGCATATTTGAAATGGCTAGGTTAGCTACGTTAGCTAGCTAGCTTACAGCAGATCTGCAATAACATTTGAAGGAATCATGCGATCACTTTGTCATAAGCCAAAAATGTATTACATTTCAGGTAAGTTTTCCACTGACCCCCGAACGTCAACAAGCTCTCCGGTCCCAGCTGTGTGCATCACTTTTTATCGTCCACCGTTTTGTATTTGCAGCGTTTCGTTCATACAGGGCTTTTAGAAACATTGTTGGTGAAGATGTTTCTTTAGCTGCATGTGTTTTGGCAGGTGTTGTTTTTCATATTTGCATAATTTTTTGAAACTGCAGCGTGTTTCTCAGGATGGAAACGTTTTGAGCCGTTGCATCGCGTTTGCACCTGTAGGTCACCATCCTTTTTTTTTTTTAAACTGTGGCTTTATACTGAACAAAGAAATTGCAATCTTGAGCACTGTCTTTGTCTCTTTTTTCTCCGCCTCCTCTCTTAAAATAACCGGCCCAAGCACAGGCCCCCCCAAGGAAATTGTTCAAGAACTGCCTCTGCAATATCTTGATAAATCTTCCATCATTGGTTGCATGTATAGTAGGCTTTACATTACCCAGGTTACTACAGTAAGTTGAGTGCATGTACATGTAGAGAAGGAGCAGTGAGTGTACCGTGGCTCTGCTGATCCCAGCCTCCTTTCTCACAGTCCTTATCATTGCGACACAATCTTCCTTTAAGGGGAACCTGGAATATAAACACTGCTGCGAAATAAGTAATAACCTTTCATCGGAATCATTGTACAATTAGGAGCACCTTTAACTACATAACATGTGATCAATAAGGATGGTAAAAAAGAGCACCTCTGGGCATTTCCCCTGCTTCTGATTCTTTGTCATCAGGACATTGGTCACCACAAAGAAGGAGTTTTTTTCCTGAAAGTCAGAAAAGAAAACATAAATTCTGCTCTTTACCAAAGATCTAAAAGAGTGGTATAGGAATGAGTGATAAAACCCAGACATGACTTAAAATGTTACCAGTTCTCTGGATCTCTCTTCTGAAAGTCAGTGTTTTTTCTTAACGTGTTTTAGTTGGCCTCCTAAATAGGGTCTGTAGTTAACACAAGCTAAATAAATGTTTGCGTTTTGTTCTACAACATTAAATATGTCTGCAATTACCTTAAGCTTCTACTGTATGTGTTATAAAATGGGCAGTTACTTAAGCGACTAACTGACACTACTAAACGTAAAAACGCAGAATATTGGCTGCTTAACGCTAGGTAGTTAGCTGGTAGTTTGCTTATAGCATTACGTTACGATACTTCAAAAATCACAAAGAAAATGTAATGGGGTTATAATGTTGAAAATACATGTAAGTATCATGTTTGCCACAGATCTTACTTTCAAACCCTATTGCTTTTTGTCAATGGAGCCCTTGTGACGCTAGCTCTCGGGTAGGCATACAAAAATACATTATCACTGCACCACTCTATGCCCGGAGCACGGAGGACCTCCTACCTGCGAGGGCCCGCTGTAGTCCACCACATCCCAGACGACGTCCCCGACCCCGGGGAGCTGCGTCTGAGCCACACCCTTCACCTTGGTTGTGACAGAGCTCACCACCTGGTCAAACTCCTGGTAGCTCCTGTTCCACAGCAACATGATGCTGCAAAATAAGAACCAAAAAAGAATCGGTTGGTTGACAATAAAATGTAGTCTTGTGTAATGCCATGACACACAATATGTTAAAAAAGATTCAGTAAAATACTCACACTACTATAAGGGTAATGTGAATAACATTGCTAACTTATCTAATAGAAATGATTGTATTTTATTTTTTAATGCGATAATAAACGTAATTCACATCAAGAGCAGTTTCTCCACAAATGTGTTTTAGATCTAAAACAGTGTAAGGCAGCAAATCCTCACAAAAGATAAGTGAAAGAGATGTTTGTTGTTTAAATATTTTGGGGAATTTTTATTTTCAAAACAGTATTTTTTTGTCAATCAACTGATCGTTGCAGAGCCAGTCATTTGTATCTCTGCCTCTGATGCTTGCATTCAACAATGCGTTTTTTTTTTTTTTAAATCTGTCCCTTGATGATTGCACACTATCCTAGTAATAATAATAATAATAATAATAAGCCTAGATTGAATTTTTTAGCGCTTTTACAGGTGCTCAAAGACGCTTTACAGATATAGTGAAGATAAAATCAAATAAAAGGAACAACAAATAAATATATAGTTAATGTCATAATATATCATATAGTTAATGTCATATACAGTAATGTCATATTTTAAAGTTAAATAAAAAAGAAACAAAATAATACAAAACAGCACACAGGGATGTCGTGTATTATTACAAATGTGTGTATATTATTACCAACTATCAGTAAGGATTGCATTTTCCATTCCCATGTATATTTCATACAAACCGTACTATTACTGTCACATCCAAACATGTTTTCATTTCGATCACTATTGAACATTAAACACGTTTTTTTATTTCAATAAAGTCACTAAAAGTATTTTCTGAGCACTATAGGAATATTACAGGGCACATTGTAAGACCAAAAATATTAAAACAAATATTCTACAGAGTATACACAGAATAAGTAAAATATTGGCAGTGAAAACATGTTTGGGAATATGGGTAGACTACCGTATAATAAGTAGCCTAATAGGCTACCAAACACACGCAGTTCCTACCAAATAAAAGTTCGTTTTTTGCTAACTATATCAACGAGAGGCGGTTGAGTTTCATTTAAACGCGAATATCATTTTGTAATCCAGGACATGGCAGCCGGTAGTAATGGTGACCGACTGACCGGGGACCTGTGGGGGTGAATCCTGAGGAGCAGAGAGCAGGCAGCCGCTCCCCGGGCAGACCACCGTGGAGCAGTCGGTAGAAGACGGAGACAGTCCGGGTCACTCACCAGATGAACAGCAGAATGCCTCCGTTCAGGCTCCACTTCAGAGAGCCGAGCTTAACGCTCTGGATCCGGACCAATTTGTTGGTTTCATACTGACACAGAACTCCGCAGCACGGCATGCTGTTGCTGTTTCAGGGTGCTTTCTGTAGCGGAGGAGGAGAGGAATCTCGGACTCACTACTTGACTCTTCTTCCTGTGTGCACGCGGTCACATGTCCAGACTCCTGCAGGCTGCAGCTACTCAACGACATCACTGCAGCTGCAGCATTCCACTGAAACTGAGCGAAAAAGGCTAGAAAAACAACCAAATACAGCAGCATTTATCTTATTAATGAATGCGCACATGTGTTACACACAGTGTAGGAAAGTAACTTAAGTAGATTTACTCAAGTAGGCCTACTGAACACATTTCAAGTGTTTTACCTAAGTATTTTCTTTCTTTGCCACATGTTCTACTCCACTAAACATTCAAAGGGAAATATTGTAGATCTTACTGCACTACATTTATTTTACAGCTTTAGTGACTTTAAAGATTCTGATTTTGATATAAAAAACTTAAAAAAATATTATGTTTTCATGAAGATGAAAGCAGGGCCGGCCCTAGACTTTTGGGGGCCCTAAGCGAGCTTTGGCTTGGGGACCCCCTCACTCTAGCGCGTTCTCACTACACACAACCAACTTTTGTCTTATGATGTTAGCATAAGCACACATATTGTCTACATAAGCATGTAAACACTGTGGACCTAACCTCCTCTAGGGGGGTCCTAACCCCTAATTGAGTTTTTAGCATAATACTTCAGAATCTTAAAATCCCTTAACGTGTGTATGCAATTGTGCTAAATTCAACACTGGAATCAAGCAAATATTAATATGTTTGCATGACATTAGTTATTTATATTTTGATATCACTTAAATACACGTTTAATACATTTAAGTCAAGCTAAGGTACACGTGATGGTAGCTAGTTAGTGCTCTTACCTGTGATGCCTCCTCCAAACAGCATAATAACCAGACTGTATCATTAAAACTAAGTACCAGTTCTAGATCCTTGACTTTAGACAAACAATTCAAAAGACAAAATGTATTTAAAGACCAATCTTTATTTGAATGTGCCTCTTAACCTGAGATATTAGTTATACAGTAATAGTATTGACAATCTAAAAAAACTGAGCAACTCAACAGTCAACTTTATATTTCTTATTGTCTAAAGCATTTATTATTTTCATTGTCCCCCTCTCATATTCAGTGTGGACGGATTGAGACAGCATGGTGTCCAGAGAGCTGCAGAGACTTCAGGGAGAAACCTCCGTGTGATGGATGTCCTGTCTGTTGGTTTGGAGAGGACTGAGGGTCTTTCCTCAGCGAGGAGGACCAGGCCTGATGGAGGAGCCCATGCTGGGCAAAGCTGATACTAACTGCACAGGCCTAGTCTGTCACTTTATTTGACTAAATGTGTTTACTTATACATGTAATAGGTTTACACCTTCTGTCCATGTGCTTTTTATTTAAAACATGTTTGATTAACTTTTGGTTCACATTTCAATAAATTGTATTTGTATTTGCACTCCTTTTGTCCATTATTCTTACTGAAAATGTTAGATTACACATTCACATCTGACTGAAGATTGGCCCCATTTATTTGTGACGTTGCAAACTCTGCGGTACAATACACAGGTGATGTGAAGCTCATAAAGTGAGGCAAATAGAAATAATCAGCTGATGGAGTGTAGATGTGGAAATAGCTGCATTCGATCAGCTAAAAATCTCATAGCATCAGCTTTTAATGTTCCTCTTGGATGTTCTTCTTGACCCTCAGAGAAAGAGAAAAATGTTGTGTCTTTCCTAACAAAAATGACAGGAAACATAAAACATATTATTGCAGAACAAGTGTGTTTTTTATGAAAGCGGTGTGTTTGTGTGTTTAGGGGCTGTAGATATAATTATTTTGTAAATGTTGTAATGTTGTTTTTTTTTCAACAGTGAGCTACAAAGACAATCAGATTATGAATGAACAGTATGAAGTTCATCAACATTGAAATATATTTTATTATCAAAATAATATTTAACTGTTATCAAAACGTAGTGCAACTGTAGAAGCTTGCTCTGTTGTCTCACTGAAAGAATAACTTGTACCACGTTTTTACAGACAATATTGAGAGATAAATAGTAGTTCTCACTATGTGTTAAATATCTTTGGAAATATTGTAGATCTTACTGCACTACATTTATTTTACAGCTTTAGTGACTTTAAAGATTCTGATTTTGATATACAAAACTTAAAACATATTATGTTTTCATGAAGATGAAAGCAGGGCCGGCCCTAGACTTTTGGGGGCCCTAAGCGAGCTTTGGCTTGGGGACCCCCTCACTCTAGCGCGTTCTCACTACACACAACACGGAACCAACTTTTGTCTTATGATGTTAGCATAAGCACACATATTGTCTACATAAGCCTGTAAACACTGTGGACCTAACCTCCTCTAGGGGGGTCCTAACCCCTAATTGAGTTTTTAGCATAATACTTCAGAATCTTAAAATCCCTTAACGTGTGTATGCAATTGTGCTAAATTCAACACTGGAATCAAGCAAATATTAATATGTTTGCATGACATTAGTTATTTATATTTTGATATCACTTAAATACACGTTTAATACATTTAAGTCAAGCTAAGGTACACGTGATGGTAGCTAGTTAGTGCTCTTACCTGTGATGCCTCCTCCAAACAGCATAATAACCAGACTGTATCATTAAAACTAAGTACCAGTTCTAGATCCTTGACTTTAGACAAACAATTCAAAAGACAAAATGTATTTAAAGACCAATCTTTATTTGAATGTGCCTCTTAACCTGAGATATTAGTTATACAGTAATAGTATTGACAATCTAAAAAAACTGAGCAACTCAACAGTCAACTTTATATTTCTTATTGTCTAAAGCATTTATTATTTTCATTTTCCCCCTCTCATATTCAGTGTGGACGGATTGAGACAGCATGGTGTCCAGAGAGCTGCAGAGACTTCAGGGAGAAACCTCTGTGTGATGGATGTCCTGTCTGTTGGTTTGGAGAGGACTGAGGGTCTTTCCTCAGCGAGGAGGACCAGGCCTGATGGAGGAGCCCATGCTGGGCAAAGCTGATACCAACTGCACAGGCCTAGTCTGTCACTTTATTTGACTAAATGTGTTTACTTATACATGTAATAGGTTTACACCTTCTGTCCATGTGCTTTTTATTTAAAACATGTTTGATTAACTTTTGGTTCACATTTCAATAAATTGTATTTGTATTTGCACTCCTTTTGTCCATTATTCTTACTGAAAATGTTAGATTACACATTCACATCTGACTGAAGATTGGCCCCATTTATTTGTGACGTTGCAAACTCTGCGGTACAATGCACAGGTGATGTGAAGCTCATAAAGTGAGGCAAATAGAAATAATCAGCTGATGGAGTGTAGATGTGGAAATAGCTGCATTCGATCAGCTAAAAATCTCATAGCATCAGCTTTTAATGTTCCTCTTGGATGTTCTTCTTGACCCTCAGAGAAGGAGAAAATGTTGTGTCTTTTCTAACAGAAATGACAGGAAATATAAAACATATTATTGCAGAACAAGTGTGTTTTTTATGAAAGCGGTGTGTTTGTGTGTTTAGGGGCTGTAGATATAATTATTTTGTAAATGTTGTAATGTTGTTTTTTTTTCAACAGTGAGCTACAAAGACAATCAGATTATGAATGAACAGTATGAAGTTAATCAACATTGAAATATATTTTATTATCAAAATAATATTTAACTGTTATCAAAACGTAGTGCAACTGTAGAAGCTTGCTCTGTTGTCTCACTGAAAGAATAACTTGTATCACGTTTTTACAGACAATATTGAGAGATAAATAGTAGTTCTCACTATGTGTTAAATATCTTTGCTTTCAATACATTAAATTAGAAAGCTGACAAAGTCATATTGCTAAATATCTAAATGTAACTTTTTGCATGGAAAAAACCCCTCAACTTAACTGATGTGTAGGTGATCTAGTATTTAGTATTGTTTAATGGAATGTATATCAGTGTATTCAAGTCAATACTTCATTCATTTAAACCAATATCTTTCTTGATTCTTTGTACAGTATGAAAAAAACAGTCTTTGTACCTGTGCTGAAGTTCACTGCTGTGAGGAGTCCAGTTCTGTCTCTCACTCTCTGGTCCAGCCTGTCTGCATCACCTGGACACCTTAAACAAACAGATATATCTGTAAAGTACCATGTGTACAAACAATATAACTGATTCTCTTCTGTTGAACATGTTGGATTGTGTATTGTCCGAGTCAGGGTCCTTTTTATTTTACTGTAACTTTGAAAGTTGTGTTACCAATGCTTACTGTTTATTTGATACCAATTTGGTAATGCAATTAATAAAAACAACAAGGTTTGGGTTCGTTCTTCAGATGACTGTGACGTTAACGTGTAAGCTCAATAATGAACTCCAGCTCAACCAACCATATTGTAATATCTAAGTAATCATTTTGAAATATGACATTATTATGTGTAATATACACACATCTTATTGTGAGGTTGATTTCACATACACTACTTCGACGTTAGCTTGTCTACATACTTGAGCATAGCCAATTTAATATCTCTCTAAGTTACAAGGATTACCTTATTTTATCAACCTCAAACAGAAGCCGTTTGTTGTACAGTATTATCCCACTTAACGCTTAACACTTGTCTATTTCATTTTAACCTTTATATATATAGTCTATGATTTTAACTTGGAGGCTACTGTAACGTTCACAAGGTGAGTCGGAAACAGGCTTCTCGTTATTAGGCTTTAATAACTCTTGTTCTTACAGATGATCACTGGTACATGTACACTTTGTGGGTTCTACCTCACACTAACCTAACTCCTACCCCTACACATATATATATAGCAGTGTCTACGTCACAAACTCCCCGCCCTCCCCCATCCGCTCCCCCAACCACAGGCCCGCACCTCAACCAGCATCACTGTGCAGCTCTATGATTGGCAGAGAGACGGGGGATGCCTGAGTGACACCCTGGACATCCTATGCAGGGTCGCTACACTACCCCCCCCACTACAAAGTTCCTCGCCCACGAGGAACAAATAAACACAGCACAACACTACATCTACACACTGTACTTTGACTAGGAAGGTCTGGGTGGACTACCATCCCATC